TCAGTGCTGTGCTTTAACCCGCTGCGCCACCACGGAGGGCCTCTGTGGTTTACTTTTAACAGATACTTTCTAAAATGGAATACTACCCAGCAATGAGGCTAAATATACAAAACTGACACAGATGACTATGTCATGTTGGAAGAAGACAAATCCCCCTCCACAAATGACAGAAAGCAAGAGCATGATTCCATACTCTATATAAATTTACATAAATTTCTAAACTGCCAGAGACGAATCATCTGTGGTGTTAATCAGAAAGGTGGTCAACAAGCACCAGGGAGGGCTCAGGGAGGTCGTGAGACGGAGGCAAGTGAAGCTGCTTCACTTATTGCAACTTGGTCCAGGTCCAGAGGTCCCGAACCATGGACTCCAAACCAACTCCTGTTCTGTGTATCTGGTGGATGAAAGGAGGGAAAAGCAATTTTTTGACTCAGAAGCTGAGCAGCAAGCTGAGTCAGGAGCTGGCTGTAACCAGGCAGCCAACATCATAGGTAAGGCCGGTGGGGAGTGTGTGGTGTGACACACTCTGGCCGGGGCCCAGGCGGGGAAGGCATTGGGGTCGGGTCCACTGAGCCGGGGAAGGCATTGGGGTCCACTGAGCCAGTTGAGGCGACGCTGGCCAGAGGCAAGAGAGGAGAGAATTAGCCCCTTATGCGGTAAGCTTAGCAAAGACAGTTCCCAGCAGTCAGGAGAAGACCAAAGACAGAAATAATCAAGTAGTCAGTGTTGATGTCTGAGATACTATTTCTAGAGTATGAGAAGATAGGGGGTGAGCGTTAAGGAAGAGGGAAGAGATCACAGACCCAAGATATTTGGGAGGAGAAGGGAGAAGGAAATGCCAGGGCAGAGAGAGGAAGAAGAGATAGATCACTAGACAGAGACTTCAGTGCAAAGGGTGGGCTGAGCCAAGAGGAGAGTGAAGAAGTAAAATGAGATTGAAAGAGAGAGGGAGGCTGAGGGTGGGGGAGAGGGAGAGTGGGGGAGAGGGAGGCTGAGGGTGGGGGAGAGGGAGACTGAGGGTGGGGAGAAGCGTCAGCATGAGGGTGCAGGGTGCAGGTAGGAATAGAGTAGAGGGGAGGGACATATAGAAGTGAGGAGAAAAAGGCCACGGAAAGGTAGAAGAAAGTTGCAGGAGAGTGGAAGGTGTCGAGAGCTGAGCTGTGAGGTGGAAGAAGGCGGGACTAACAGGCAGCGGAGGGAGGTGCTAGGAGGCGGAGTCCGGCTGAGGTGGGAGGTTACAGACAGCGGGCAAGAGGGAGAAAGAGTAAGCCAGGAGGTGGCCTGAGTGGAAGAAAGGTGGGGAAGGTGGG